CTTATCAGAAAGCCCTCTGTGGTTTGACTAGTACTCAGTTCAATTCAGCAGATGAATAATCTTAGCCATCTCTCCCCGCCCCCAACTGTAACAATATGGAAATACTGAGTACTGGCTATGAATAAGAACAAAGATCATCATGCTGAGTGAAATAAGCCAGTCAATGAAAGAGAAACACCACATGACCTCACTCATTTATGGATAATAAAGAACATTATAAACTGATGAACCAAAAGATATAGAGACAGTAAAGCAACAAGCAGACTGTCAAATTACAGCGGGGAGGGTAGGGAGATCTGAGGAAGATAAGAGATCAACTGAAGGACTTGAATACATGCATATAAGTACAATCAATGGACACAAAACTCTGGGGAGGGAGGGTATGTATGGGGGGGGGGAGGGCAATGGTATATGTACACAGATAATTACTGCATTTTTCGGGCCATAAGACGCACTTTTTAAAGTCCCTGTGTCTTATAGTCCAAATATAGCCTATACATATACTTTAAAAAAAAAGTTTTTTTACTTGCCCGGCTGTGTGGTCTCTGTATGCTTGCCCGGCTCTAAAATGGTTCTAAATGCTGCTGTTTACAGGGTTGATTACATGTGTTTATGACTGTGATGTTGGGTTTTAATGCACATAAAATATTTTAGGACACTATTTGTTTCAGAATCTTTTTTTCTTCATTTCCCTTCTCTAAAAACTGGTGCGTCTTATGGTCCGGTGCGTCTTATGGTCCGAAAAATACGGTAATAAAATTTTTTTAAAGAGAGTAAATGGCGATGGAAGGAGACTTGACTTGGGGTGATAAACACGAAATATGATATACAGATAATATATTATAGAATTGTATAGCTACCTATATCATTTTATTTACCAATGTCACCCCAATAAATTCTATTTAAAAAAAAAAAAAAAGAACCAAGATCACTGGGCATGGTCACCAGCTATTTCTGTTTTTGCTGTCACTTTCCTTCAGTGGGAAAGGGCTGCAAGTGGCATCAAGTCTATTGGTATTGCCCAGATTGTATTTGAACTTTTCGTTGGTATAACAACTAAAGGGTGTCAGAGATTGGGCTCTCAGCCTAGATTCCAGCATTGTGGCAGAGCATCCTCTTGACTCACATCCTCTTGAGGATAAAAAAAACAACACATTATTTCAGAGCCTCTGCCATGTCCATAATTGTGATCCACAAAGTTCGTTTGAAACAAGCCTGCTGGAATTCATCCCCAGTCATAGCCACTGGCTACCTTTCTGTATAGGAATAAATAAGCACACGGTTTGGACCATTATAAAGTGTAACACAACTTCCTGGTTCTGAAACCAGGTAAGATCCTTTAGTAAAAAATTAAAATATATATATATAATGGAAATCTAGTGGGACCAGATTGCTTAGTTTTAAAATTAAAAAAAAAAATTGCTCGCATGTGCTTAATGCTTTTAGTAAGTAACATGATCAAATTGCTAAAATGCCGATGAAAATTAGAATCTGAATTTTTACCAAGACCTTTAAAAAAATCCTAGCGGTAGGTCTGTAAAGAGTAGCAAGCAGTTAGGGTGTATGTGGTCTGCTTCCACAGGGAAGAGGAAATGAGTTCTAAATTGGTCCCGGGGGTGTGAAAGCAGGATAGATGTTTTTCTGCGGGAGGATCCTACCTGGAGACACGTTCTCTGTGCAAATCCACTGTCCAAACACGGTTTGGACCATTATAAAGTGTAACACAACTTCCTGGTTCTGAAACCAGGTAAGATCCTTTAGTAAAAAATTAAAATATATATATATAATGGAAATCTAGTGGGACCAGATTGCTTAGTTTTAATCTAGCGGACAAAACGTTAAACAGATTTTAATCTAGCGGACAAAACGTTAGATTAAAATCTGTTGTCAAGGGTAGCTGGGATAGTCACACCGAAACCTTCTTTATGGTTTCCAGGCCAGTGGATTTGCTACACTTACCATTTATGTGGTTTGTGTATTGGGTTTAAAAAATCATAACGGTATTAGAACTATCACTTTTGTAAGTAAGCTAGAGGCCCAGTGCATGAGGAGGCACGCCGCAGGCCACTGTAGGAGTCAGGCCTGACTGGTGCCGTGGGCAACCCAGACCCGAGCCCGACTTCCACCCCCACCCCCACCCCCACCCCCACACACACCCGTGTCCACTCTGGGGCTGTCCGAGCCAGCCCCCGTGCCCACTCTGGGGCTGTCCGAGCCAGCCCCCGTGCCCACTCTGGGGCTGTCCGAGCCAGCCCCCGTGTCCACTCTGGGGCTGTCCGAGCCAGCCCCCGTGTCCACTCTGGGCCACCAGAGCTGTCGCACCGCCTCAGGCAGGCCTCTGTCTCCGTCCCCACTCCTGGCCTCACCTGCCGACAACCTCCTCCTGTCCGGCCGTGACATGTCATGGCGTCCTGGACTAATTTGCATATTACCTCTTTTTATATATATAGATGGATAGACATAGATATTTGATAATGTGTATACTAAAGACACAGTATAACTTCAGAATCAGTTCAGCCGGTTTACATGTATTTCAAAATTTGCTAGTTTATAATGGAGTAAGTTTTTTTCATGAGTTCTTCTGAGCATGATTACTAGCTTACAGTTATGAACATGGTTTATAAATCCTTTGTGTTTGATTTTCTTAATGACGACAGTTTTTTCAGACATATGCCGCATTTCCAATACTTGTCTGTTGATTACGGTGTTCTTGAATTTTATAGTCTGTTCCGATTGTCCTCTGAATCACTGAACTACTAATGAGTAATCATTTCATCTTGTCATCCGTTTCCCCTCAAAAAACCTGTGCTACCACCAGGTTACAGACATGAATTTTGCCTGTAGTAAGTAGCGAACTCTGGTAGACTTGGAAGCCGTGTGTCTATCTGTGAAGCAATCAGATGGTCGTGCAGAGCAATTTCACTTACACAGCTAGCAAAGGCGATCAGCCAGACTTTATTACGGGATAACAGCAGGGAATTTGTGGATAAGCACTGCTTTGAATGTCTCACCAATGTACTCAGATGCAATTTTTCTTTAACTTGTCTTTGAAAAAATAAGCCCCCTTTCACTGAACAATGGCAAAGAGTTAACCAATAGGGATAGCTCATCAGTATGCTTTATTCACTCAAGTAAAATTTATACTGCACATCTAATAAGATATGCCATCTTTAAAAAGTATAACCCCCTAGAACTGTAAACCCCAACCCCACTAAACAAAACAAAAAACCATTAAAGATTACTTACTATATGAAACAAAAAGGGAACCATTGAAACTTAATGAAAATTTTTTATTTTTAAAAGTGTTTTCAAATCCGAATCTAATGTGTACTGGCTTTATGTATTTCAATAATTACACGAAAGGCCTAAATGGGGAAGTGATGAACAGTACTCTAGCAAGGTAAAGAATAAAAATCTCCCTCTTCCCCCCCTGGCTTCTAGTTTGACAAGAGGGAACATCTAACAATCCTATTCCGATAAAAACAGCAATAGTACTGTGCTTTGAAAAATATCTGGTTGCATATCATTCTTAATATGTCACATAATGCTGTTGCCCCTAAGACTTCAAACAGTAGCTGTAGGTTCCAACCTGGCACTTCAGGTAATGAAAAATGACCAAAAAATGCTTTAAGTTAAAAGTAAAAATATATCTTATGAAATTTCTTGAAGCAGATTGTCAGATTAAAATACTTAGCTTTAAAAAGATCTGGGGGAAAAACACAAAAACAAACTGCCATCCAATTGTTCAAATAATTGCACTCAAATGACCTAGAAAATGGACTGGACTGATTCTTTCATTAACTCATTTTAAACTCTTTGTATTTTTTATCAAGGTTGAGTAATTATAAGGATCTATTATTACTCCATTATCTTCTGGCCTTCTAACCTATTTTGTGTTGAATTTTTGTCTAACTCAGAATTTGAGAAGTTTAACACCATTTTTCTCTTTGATTAAATACCAGTTCCTTAGCTGTGTAGTTTTTAAAAGGTAATTTGCTTTAAATTCTGAAAATCAGTACCAAAAAAATGTACACAGCTTATTCTAATCACTAACATTTACAAAACTTACATTTCAACAAAAAAAAGAGTAAATAAATTTTTTTTAAAAAATAGTGCATACAAGGCACAAGTGCTTCTTAGTATATTTACTGAAGCTGAACATTTTGGCATCAACAAACACACCACTTGAGTTAATCTGAAACTCAGTTTCCAAACAGCACACCATTTACTTATGTTTAACCAAATTTCCAAAAGTGTATAATTTTTGATTTGCATCACTTAATCTTAATAGATGATGAATTATATAAACTATCATACCTTTGATGAGAACACAGAAATAATATCGATATAAATGGAGGATTAATCGATTGACCCATCTGGAATTCTTAACAGAAATTAGATATTTTTGCTATGTTCAACAAAAATAAAATAAAATAAAAAAACTTTTAAAAAATGTTAAGCCCTGGCCAGTGTGGCTCAGTTGGCTGAGTATCATCCCATGCACCAAAATGCTGCTGGATCCATGCCTGGGTTGTGGGCTTGATTCACAGTAGGGAGCGTGCAGGAGGCGGCTAATGGATGTTTCTTGTATCAGTGTTTCTCTCCAGCTTCCTCTCTAAAATCCTCTCTCTGTAAAATCAATAAAAACATTAAAAAAAATTTTAAGCCAAACTGGCTAAGGAGTATCATAAAAAAATAAACCGATTTTCATAATTGTTATAGATTTCCCCCAATTTAAGAAGAGATGAAAACATATTACAGATGTTGCTTATCAGTGAGTTGCTTATCAGTGAGTTCGAGCATCAATGATCATATGTTCTAGCAGGGATCTTCAACTGTAGGTCATTTGGAACTTGTAATGAATTCACTCCATCTGGTGAAGTTGGGTTGACATCAGAAGGAATAAACAAAGGAGTCTGATAGGCCACCTCCATGTTTTCGTAGGTAACAGGTTTTATGAATAAACTTATCATTATGATGTGACTAGGAATCTTCCCAACTTCAGTTTCTTCATCTTAATTTTCTGGATGAAAACTGTGTTTTAATTGTGCTACCGAATTATTTGGGTGAAAACTGGCCCATGAGTTTACTTCAAGTTTTTATGATCGAAGGTATTTTTGCCCTTGATCCATAAGACACAATTATTTTTAATATTTCACAGAAATTTGTGTTAAGTTGAGACAATCTGTATCCTGGTTTGAAAAAGGTGATGTTTTAAGCAAGAGCTTGGAGAGAACGAATCAATGCATCTTCTGCACATCCAGCCACAGGGACATGGAAGGACTGGTCAACGGCGCCCTCCTGTGGGGAGCCTCTTCCTCCATCTGCAGCACTGATACCTAGAAATGAAAGAGAAAACATGAAACTACTGTGTGAACTATTTTAAAAACAACAACTCATCACTCAGACAAACTCACTGTTGTAATAACATCCCTTGTTCAAAATTAAATGTTTTCTATACTAGAAGACTCAGTCGATGTGTTCTTGAATATATATAGCCCTCGACATCAATGCCTTCAAACTGTAATGTGCATACCCAAGGCCAGAGGATCTTGTTAGAATGCAGAAGATGCAGATTCTGACTCAGTAGGACTAGAGTGAGGTCCAGCATTGAGCGTTTCTATTAAGCTCTCAGGTGAGGGCAATGGTAGTGGTTTGGGACCCAATTTGAGAGGCTTCTTCTGCATTTGTCTGAGAAGTGACAGATGAGTTAGAAGAGGGACTTAAGGAAATATGTCTGAAATTTCATGTGTATAGAAGCACAGCAATTTTTTGTTTATAATTTATAAGAGGGAAGGCTGAACAGCCTAAACTAAGTCTCTACTTTAGCACTACTATTGGTCTATAGCTACATTATAATTACCTGGGACAGATGCTGATCCTATCTAATAAAAGAATAATAAGCAACTTAACCATCACTCTGCCACGCCCACCAGTCACGCCCACCAGCCAATCAGAACAAGTATGCAAATAAACCCAACCAAGATGGCTACCAGAAGGGAGGCTTGGGTTTCCCCAGCAATGGAGGAAGCCAAGCTTTCCACACACTCTGGCAGGCCCAGGCCTCCACTCCAGGCTATAAAGTTTCAATTGTAGAAGGTAAATAAATTCCAAATACCAGGGAAACATTTTACTGTCACTGGTTATATCAACAGAATGAAAGGTATGACATCGGAAAATCACTTTTCTATTGTCAAAGCAGCTGATTTATGCTGTCCTCTGGTTATTAAGACCATTATGTCTTGTATTCAAATGTAATAAAATCAAGTTTTTGTGAGACTTGTTATTTTAACGTTATTTAACCACGTATTTACAAAATCCTTATTTAGAACCTACTACATATCTGGTCTTTGGCAAAGTGTCTTTGCCCTTTAACCTTATAAGAAGATTAAATTTTCACTCCCCTACCCATCCTTGTGATTAATCTGATTCACTCTACTATAATATATAATCATCCAGGACCAAACAGTCAACCGGCAAATGGCCAGATCAGTGTTTTGCCGTGACTAGAAAGATACTCATTAAAGCAAAACAAAACAAATTTTAGAAGATTTTAAAAAACAGACTTTTGAGGGTTAAAATGGGTTAAAAAAAAAAAACAAACACAGAAACTAAAAAAGCACACTCAGACAACCATGAAGTATTTTGACATGAATGATTTTGTTTTAGCTACAACTGCCTCACTTTCTCATAGACTTTAGGAGTGTAGATTGAAGCCTTATATATAGTTGTTTTGATAACCTTGATGTATTTATATTTGTTATAATGGTAGATACAGCTGTTTGTTTTGTCTACATGTTTATGGCTTTGCTCCAAAGGGGGTCTTTACTATATCTTTCTATTGACTGCAGGCTTATATGTAATGTATTAAAGAAACTGACTTTGAAGTACAGGTTTTCAGAAATTATGGTATAATGAAAGTGATTTGGAATGCCTATATTTTAAGAATGACACATGCTGTGGGGTGGGTCCTATTGTGACCAAAACGAGGGTAATAGGTTTACGCTAACAGTATTTGATCCTCTTGTACTTCGACTCAGGTAATCAAGGACATGACCACTATATATCCCAAAGGAGAGAAACTTTTTTTGTTTAAATTGTACTATCCTATGAAACGATAAGAGAATTGACATGTAAAAACATCAATATTTTAGGATCAATTCTTGCCATTGAATATATTACTGTAAAAATGAGCTTGCTCATCAACTTATTTTATTCTTATCAAGTTAACCTAAGTACTAGCTACTACTGAAGTAAGGCCCATGTCCAGAAGTCTCCAACGTGATTAATGCAATCCCAAGGGTCAGCTGAGACATCTTTTAATTTGGATCACTCAAAAATAAGTAATGTTTATGGAAACAATTTGCCCTCTGAGAACTAGAAAAGTGTCAAAAATATAAAACACAAAGGGAAAGCTTCACTTACTTTCATAAAATAGGAATTCGTTTTGTTTGAAGAGTTAAGTCTCATTCTCCATGGTCAATGCAGGATTGCTCAACCCTAGAAGAAAGAACTTGATTTAGCATTTTTTGATTGCTTTTGAACCAACAGGCAGAGACTTGTTATATACATGGTCTGGGTGTTTATAAATAAGACGGTAATATAAACACACACACGAGTAACAGTGTAGGCCACAACCACTGTCACACAAAAAGGGGGCGAGGTACTTTGCTATTATAGTAAACATAGGGATATATACCTGAGGAAAAAGGTACATTGAACCTGGCACCTCTCATTACCACAAATCATTGTTTCCTAATTATTCCTTGACCTACCTCATTCTAGTCAAACTAATCTTTGAGCTCTTTCTCACCTCATCTTTCTCATGTTTCTCTTTTACAACATCTTTTTAACTTTAGTTTCTCATTCACCTATCAAAGTAAAAGAAATATTAATTCAAGAAGCCAAATACTTAACAGCATATGAATAACCGAGAAGTCATTTCTATGTTAACGTAGAACTATAAGATGACACATGAATCTTTCTGAAAGAAAGAACTCTTTGTCTCTTCATTCCCCAAAAAAACCGACCTGCAACTATACATCATTTCTTTGCCTCAAAGGAAACTGATGGATTTGAAAGGCAAATAGGTGTCATCAATTTTTGTCCTTCCCATAGATCAGAAAATGGAATGGCAGGTTTGAAGGTGAAGAGAAAACAAATTATGAATTCTCAAATGACGGGAATCTTCGGAGGGAATATACAGGATGGGCAAAAGTAGCTTTATAGTTGTAAATACACAAAACACAGAATTTATTCTTGGATTATTATGTTTAATTATTATATTATTTTCCATTTGAGTAACTAAACCTACTTTTGCACGACCCTTTAAAAAGAACAAGACTTTTGGTCAGGGCACATACAAGAATCTACCAATAAATAAGTGGGACAAAAAAAAAAAAAAAAGAACAAGACTTTTTAAAGAAAGGCAATATTTTGGGAGAATATGACTGATTATCCTATATAATAATAGGCTAATATGCAAATAAACTGAACAGCGGAACAGAACAACCTGGTTGCTATGAGGAGCACTGACCACCAGGGGGAAGATAGTTGACCGGTAGACCAGTCACTATGATGTGCACTGACCACCAGGGGGCTGACACTCTGACTAGTAAGTTAGCTTGCTGCTGGGGTCTGGCCAAACAGGACTGAGGCAGATGGGTCGGACATGACCTGGAGCCCTCCTTTGGTCTTTCCTTGGCTGGCCAACCTCCTGCCATCCTGCACCGGTGGGGTCCCTCAGCCTGGCCTGCGCCCTCTCGCAATCTGGGACCCCTCAGGGGATGTTGAAGAGCCTGTTTCGCCCTGATACCAGTCAATGCAGGACCTGCCCCCTGGTGGCCAGTGCCCAAATTGATTTGAAATCAAGTCTGTCTGGCTTCAGAACCTTGCCGTCCTTTGCCAATAAAGAAGTAATCAAAAGGTTAAAATCAATAGCAAGAGTAAGAGAACTCTGAAGAAATTACATGTAGCTAAAGTTATGGTAATTATGCAATCACTCTGACATTTTGAAATTGGCTAGAAACCTTAGGATAAAAGAACTGCATAATTTGCAATCCTTCACAGCAGATATTTTTCAATCTTTTGTCTGAGTTGATGACATTTTTCCATTTTAAAAATTGTACTTTGAATTTATTTCGATTGTTTAGTATGCAGGAATAAAGACTTTTGGTTCTTTAAGCTGGAAAACAAATACAATGTCGATCTACCTTTCACACAACGATTTTCTAGAGCTAGCAGACATTCAAGAACTTCCCAAATAGAAGTTCCTGAAAATAACTCTAAATTTACACTGAAAGTCAGACTGGGAGGCAAGAAAGACCCTAGAGGAAATATAATGAAAATCTGTTCACTACTTTAACCTTTTAAAATAAAATATAGCCGAAGCCGGTTTGGTTCAGCGGTAGAGCGTCAGTCTGCGGACTGAAAGGTCCCAGGTTCGATTCCGGTCAAGGACATGTATTATACATTGGTTGCGGGCACATCCCCGGTAAGGGGTGTGAAAGAGGCAGCTGGTCGATGTTTCTCTCTCATCAACATTTCTAGCTCTCTATCTCTCTCCCTTCCTCTGTGTAAGAAAAATCAATAAAATATATATATAAAAAAATAAAATAAAATATATCCAAAGAGCCAAACAGGCACACCCTTACCAGCTTTGTCTTTGCCCGCGTTTGTGCTGCTCTCTGTCCAAGACTGAGAATCAGTAAGGAGGTGGCTCTGGGAGTCTCTCAATGGCTTTGCAGGAAACTGATGGTTTTCAGGACTGAAGAAGAAGAATCATCATCACAATCATTAACTCTGACAATGTTGAGGTGTTTCTCAGAGTGTGGAGCTCCAACCACTGTGGAGCGAGATCACTCTACGAGTTACCCAAGAGAACTGGGGGGACGCAGGAACCATTATTGAATGTATTACTATAGAATTTCACCCTGGCTCACAATGAGAAAAAGTGTTCCCTCTTCCATTCTCTTTTCATTCTGATTGCAATAAGGTGACTGCCTTTAACCCTGGCAAATCTCCACTTTCAATACAAAAACTTGGTCTCAGCTTCAGACTTGAGCGGGTAAGGGAATCTAGTTAGCTGTTAACAGTATTTTATTTTCAATTTTCCGTTGTTATACTTTACTAATATTTATGACGAATGATACTGGTTTGTCATTTATGACAGTGGTATGAAGTCCGGTTTAAAAATAAATCTCAGTGTAAATTTAAATAAACCTATTAGAGAAAAATGTTATGTTTAAGTGGTATGTGGATATGGGAAAACATCTATGAAGGCGATGGTAGAAAGATAAGTTTGAGGAAAAATTGGCCCAGTGTTTCGAAAGTGGCCCGACTGGTCTGGAACAAAGAAGTCTCTGTCCTCTGTAAGACCAAAACAACCACCGCGAGCATCATCTTGCAGGAGGTGTTGAAAACATCTGACCTTATCAGGTCTTTCAAGCCTGGTGTTTAACTGGGGAAAACGAGAGAGTCTTAAAAAAGAGCTTAAGTTTTAAAATTAAAGTATACATGCCACATATTGACATATTAGATGGTATGAAAAAATATATCTATAAATTAAAATAACATGAGTTCTATAGAAAAAATATTGGCATAGAAACTATTATTTTAGAACATCCTGAAATACTAATTATAATACTGTTCAAAAGAAAAAAATACTTTAAGTTCCTCAAAGAATAATTTCACATATTTCAGTTGTCTTTAACTATTATTTTTTAAAGGATATGCTTTTGGACCTTAGCAATGACCTCAGATCTAAAATTTAAGAATATTTCAATTTTGTGCAGCTTTAACCTACCCTTACTAAAAATTTGAAGGTAAATCCTTTTAAAAAACTGTCTCCCATTCCTTTTACTCTAATTCTTTTGATTCCTCAGGAAAGAGGCCATATACCAGGTAGAGGAGACTTAAGTCCTGGTTTAGGGACTCTGTGGAGATTGATTGCTGGCTTGGATCCACTCATTTAATGAATAATAATAAAGAAATAAACATATAATAAGTCAGGTGACAATACGAGCTATGACGACTAGTGTACAGGGATGTGTCAGAGCAGGTTACTATTTTACGAAGGCTTTTTAAGGATGGCCTCTATTGTGATGTTACATCTGAGGGGAACGTGAATGAAGAGAAGGCACAGACCATTCAGGATTCTGGAGGAAGAACATTCAGGAAGAAGAACGAACAAGTACAAAGGCATTCAATAAGGGACATGCTTGGTGTATCGGAGGAACAGCCAAGATCTGTGTCCAAGGATTGTTACTGAGTAAAGCAGGGCTGACATCAGAGAGGTGCTGGGGCCAGATTAGAATGAGGGAAGGACACTCATTAGGCTTTATTCTGAGGACGATGGGAAATCAATGGAGGTTTGTGAACCTGAGAGCGACAAAATCTGATGTATGTTTCAAAAAGATCAGGCTGACTTCCTAAGGAACAGACTGGAGTAGAGGGAAATGGAATCAGGAAGGTCAGTTAGGAAGAAATTGAAACAATTCATGTGAGGAATGGCACAAAAATATTTTGAGGGGGAATCTGACAGGGTTTGCAAATGGAATAAAGGGAAACTAAAAAAAGGAATCAAAGTGAGTCCAGTGTTTCTGGCCAGAGTCCCTGGGAGGACAGAAATCACAAATACCGATTCACGTACGGAAGAATGAGGAAGTCGGGTTTCTGTGGGCGTGAGGGTATGGATGGCTGGAATCAGGAGTCCTGCTTTACACCTGTTCAGCTGACTGTGACTTTTAGACACTGAAGTGGGAGTGCTGAGTAGACAGCCAGATAAAAAGCTCTGGAGCACAGCGATCCCAACAATAACCATAGACATTTTATACGGGCTGATCAGGGGGAATTATAAAATTCTGCAGCTGTCAAAATCCAATCTCGACATTTAAAGGAGACAGAGGAGAAGCCTGACCTTTTCACGGTCACCTGGTGAGGTAACAGTGCCAGAACCGGCTTTCTCTCAATCCCCTTGGGACATGTAGTGGGAGAGGTACGATCTCTAAAATCCAGAGAGTCTTAAACTACAAAAATCACTTCATAAAGATAAAAAACATTATTGAAAAGCACTGTTACATTTTATGAAAGCTATGACAACATAACAAGTAACTTACTGAAACTAAAACTAGATTTTTCTGCACTGAAGTAAAGAAAACCATTAACATTTAGCTCCTGAGGAATTTTCAAGCCAAAGCTCTCAGAGCATGACCCCAAATACTATGGTGCCTTGAATGTCCCTGTGAAGCACACTGAAATCCCTCAGTGACGGAGAGTCTGATCTATACATAGCTCCCTCTAGGGATGGGGTGATAAAGATGTTTCACCTCCTGACAATCTATGTATATAAAAGGCTAAGCGCCTGACTTTATGTATGTCCGACCGCCCAACCGGCTGGTATATATGATGCACACTGGTAATCTATATATATAAAAGCCTAAGCGACCGAACAGTGGGCCGCTTTGATGCGCACTGACCACCAGGGGGCAGACGCTGAAGGCAGGCGCTGCCCCCTGGTGGTCAGTGTGCTCCCACAGTGGGAGTGACACTCAGCTGACAGCCGTCAGACACCGGGCTCACGGCTGGCAAGTGCAGCTGTGGCGGCGTGAGCCTCTCTCGCCTCTGTAGCAGTGCTACCAACGGGTGGTGGTGGTGGCAGGCACAGTGGGGTCAGGATGAGCGAGAGCGGTGCCCAGGCTTGGGCTCAGGCTCCTGCCTGGCTGCCTGCTGCTTCTCACACTGCTACATCCCCTGAGGGGTCCCAGATTGCAAGAGGGTGCAGGCCAGGCTGAGGAACCTCACCAGTGCACAAATCCGTGCACCACACCTCTACTTTAAAATAATTTGGAATGGCCGCCAGGATCACTGCTTTGAGACGCATTCAGAGGTCAAGCCAGGCTGCAGAGGACAAATACTGTTGGAAATAAGCAATCTGTACTAGCCCTGGCCAGCTTGGCTCAGTGGATAGAGCATCAGCCTGCAGACTGAAGGGTCCCTGGTTCAATTCCAGCTAAGGGCACATGCCTGGGTTGTGGGCTCAATCCCTATAGAGGCATGCAGGAGGCAGCCAATCAGTGATTCTCTCTCATCACTGATGTTTCTTTCTCTCTATCCTTTTCCCTTCCTCTCTGAAATCAATAAATAAATATATTAAAAAAAAAAAAAAGTCCGCTCTAGACAGGGGGAGCACAAGTATAGGTGCTGTGCACACTGCATTCTGGCAGCTAAGAAACTCTCTAAATTTTAACTAACAATGCTTTTATGGTTATGTTTTTGCTACTGGATTTCATTAAAAATCAGGAGTACGTCATATTCAAATAACTCTGTCTTAACGATATAAAAATTAGTTGCAAAAACTTATTCCTATACGTAATAGCATTTTAAATGTTTTAGTAGTTTTGCCTTTTGCCAGTTAGCAGTCAAGTCAGAATCAAATTTCAGATTTTCCTTAGATTCTTGATAGACTTGAACCAAAACAGACTTAAAACACTGGCAAAAGTCTCCCGACTTTTAATACATTCCCAAGAGCCCTCCCCTTCTCTGTCCGCAGAAATGGCTCAGATAATGCCCAGGGGTCTGTAAGGAGCAGCAAGAATAGGGTGCACATTGCTGACAAAACTGCCTAGCCGGTGGCTGGGATTCCATCCGTTCTCCAAAGGCCTGACCCAGGGAAGTTTCCGGATCTCTTTGTAAGTTCCCTGGAGGATCAGAGGAAAGTCTACCTGGATCTGCTCACCTGACTGCCAGGCAAGCTAATCTGGACTGACTTTTTTTTTTTTTTTTTAAGTACAATGTTTTTTAAGTAGATTTTTAAAAATTGATTTCAGAGAGGAAGGAAGAGGGAGAGAGAGATAGAAACATCAATGATGAGAATCATTGATTAGCTGTCTCCTGCACACTCCCCACTGGGAATCGAGCCCATAATTTAGGCAGGTGCTCTTGACCAGAATCAAACCTGGGACCCTTTAGGTCAACGTTCAATCCACTGAGCCAAACCGGCTAGGGCTTAAGTACAACATCTTTTAAAAAATCATAATTGCTTCAGTCAACTAAAATGTTTAGAGAATTAACAACCTGCTTACCCACCACCTAGATGAATAACGGAATTTTTCAAGTATGACGAAAGCTCCTGATTTTTTCTTCCCTCCTTCATTCCAAATAGAAACCACTGGAGTGAATTCTCTTGTATTCTTAAAACTTTTCAAGAAACATGTAACCAAAGGATATGTGAGGATATAGCACGTGTTACTGGAAAGTCGAATAGGAAAAACAGTAGATTACTTTTTCGATGCTGGATTCAGTCCTGCAGGAGTGGACGGCTGTTCAGGATCTTGGTTCACAAGGCAAGTTGGGAAGGAGCAGCCATCACCTAGACTGCAATGAAAACAAAAACTTACAACGGAGTCAACAGAGTGAGACTGTCACAGAGCTCCTGTCTGCGGGCAGAGCACAGTTACATTACGGGCCAAACGTGTGTCAGGCACTGATATCAATTTCAGTATGTACAGGGAGAGGAGGAGCTAATTTATTTCCGCACTGGTACAACAGTGGATCATAAAATAATGCGTTAAAACATAGGAGGTCCGGTGCAGAATAACAGAGTCCCTTTGCTGGATTGCTTTCATGAGTTTAATACCTGAAACATTTCTCAACGAAATACCTTGAAAACACGGGTAGCAACCAGTACTTCTTCTCATCACCAAAAACTTGTCGCATGTTTTTACTGAAACCCAAGCTGAAGCCGTTCTTATCTGTTCCGTGTCGAAATACAGGACTTCTAAAAGCCTCTAAAAGAGACAGCAGAGCAATCACATGAGTAATGAACATACACCTGGTCAGCCGTACCTTTAGAAGCGACTGAATTAAATGAAGGCACCCAAAAATCAATGGCTATCCCCCGAGGCCTTATGTGCCTACCCGCAGCTCAGCAATGAAGACGGCCTATATTGTTTTAAACTAATCGAATGGCTACATTTACTTTAATTTCTAAGTAACCTTTTAACTATTATACTATAGCAGGACATATGCAGTGCAGAAAATTAGAAAATAAAAAAAATACAAGTAATTTATATCTTCTAATTCTTTTTTAGGTACATGGGTGGATGGACATAGGTATAGACAAATCTACATAGGTTTTAACTAAAATGAGATTATACATACATACTGTAGCCTGCATTTTATTGTCAGTATGTTCCATTTTACAATCTCATTGAATCCTACTTTTTTCCCCCGCTAACCCCAAATATACTTGAAGCTGGTTTTGTCCAAACCAAGAATTACATTTATATCATATTTCTAGTCTCTTTATTAATTACACGTAGCGCCTTTTCCAGACTCCTGAAGCCTTCTAGCTGCTGGACATCACCCCAGCATATACCCAAGAGTGGAATTACTGGGTCACATGATAATTCTATATTTAACATTTTGAGGAATTGCCAAACTGTTTTCACATTGACTGCACACTTTTATATTCCCACCAGCAATACGTGAACGTTCCAAATTCACCACCTCCTCACCAAAGCTTGTGGGTTATTTTTAATCTCCATCCCAAGTGAATATGAAGTAGAACCGCACTGTGGTTTTGATTTTGATGTCTCTAATATCTAATGATACGGAGCATGTTTTTAGGTGTTTGTTGGCCATTTGTATATTTTCTATTAAGAAATATCTTTTTAAATGTCTATTGAAATCTTCTGCAAATGTTTAAACGGGGCTGTTTGTCTTGTTGTTGCCGAGTTGTAATATTTACATATTCTGGACACTCGGCCCTTGGACGTATGATTTACAAATATTACTCTCAAAGATACTCTTCATTCCCCCTCTGAATGGCCTTGGAACCCTTGAGAAAAATCAATTGGCCAAAGATGTATAAGTTCAGCTCCGGACTCTCAGTTCAATTTCATTGGTCAAGATTGCTGTCCTTATACCAGTACTATGATGTTTTGATCACTGTAGATTTGCAGCAAGTTCTGAAAACAGTAAGAACTTTTTATTGCTTGGTGGCTGTTGTCTTCGCTATGTGGGGCCCTTAATGTTTTCTATATGTAAGATGTCATCTGCGAAAAAGAATCGTTTTATCTTTCTTTCCAATTTGGACGTCGTTATTTCCTTTTCTCGGCTGATTTCTCTACCTATAATTCCCAGTAGAGTTAAAAGCAGCAGAGAGAGGGCATCCTTGTTTTGTTCCTGATCTTAAAGGAAAGGTTTTTCTTTCTCGTCGCTGAGTGTGATATCAGTGTGAGGCTCTCAGAAAGCCCTTTATCAGATCACAGAAGTTCCCTCCTATTCTTAGTGTGCTAAGTGCTTTTATCATGAAAGGTATTATATTTTGTCGAACACTTTTTTTGGTATCAGTTGAGATAATCATGTGGCTTTCCCCTTCTATTAAGGTGATAGGTGATTTTTGCATAGTGAACGCCCTTGTATTCCTGGGATAAATCTTACTTGATCGTGGCCTCTGGTCCTTTTAATATGCTGCTGGATTTGGTTTGCTTGTATTTTACTGAGGATTTTTGCATTTGTGTTCGTAAGGGATATTGACGTTTTCTTGTGATGTCTTTCTCTGGCTTTGGAATTAGTGCAATGCTAATCTTAAAGAGTAAGTAGAAAGCGTTTCCTTCTAATTTTTTTTTGGCCGAGTTTGAGAAGAATGGGTGTTAATTCTTCTTGAATGTCTGGTAGAATTTACCAGAGAAGCCCTTGATTACTGATTCAACTTCCTAACTTGCTATTGGTCTATTCAGATTTTTTATTTCTTCTTGAGTCAGTTATGTGTTTCTAGAAATTGTACATTTCATCTAGGTTCATCTGATTTTTAAAAAATATATATTTTATTGATATTTTACAGAGAGGAGGAAGGGAGAGAGAGAGAGAGAGAGTTAGAAACGTCGATGAGAGAGAAACATCGACCAGCTGCCTCTTGCACACCCCCTACCAGGGATGTGCCCGCAACCAATGTACATGCCTTTGACCGGAATCGAACCTGGAACCTTTCAGTCCGCAGACCTACGCTCTACCATTGAGCCAAACTGGTTTTGGCTAGGTTCGTCTAATTTTTTGATGTACTAATGCTCATGGTTTCTCTTATAGCCTTTTTGATTTCTATAAAGTTGGTGGTCCCCACTTTAATTTCTGATTTTCATAATTTGAGTTTTCTCTTTTTGTATTTCTAGCGAAAGGCCTGTCTAATTTTTTATTTTCAAAGAACCAACTATTGATTTCATTGATCTCATTGATCTTCTACCTTTAAATTCTCTATTTTCATTATCTCCTCTCTAATCTTTACTATTTCCTAACTTTTGGTGGCTTTGGGTTAACTGCTTTTATTTTTATAGTTCTTAAAGTGGGAAGTTATTGATTTGAGATATTTCTTCTTTCTTAATGTAAGCATTTATAGTTACGTATTTATTTTCTTTTAAGCACTGTTTTCACAGCATCCACCACTGTCGGGCTTTTGAACATATTGTTTTCTCTGCCTGAGATGTTTTAGCTCTTTCCGTGACTGATTTCTTAGGTTAAATATGTATTATTTTGGTGAGCTCTTCCCTGATCAATCATCTAAACAGGCACCCTTCTACCACCCTCAGCCCTTGATATATACTTCGAGATCCTATTCGTTTCCTTTAAGGCACTTTGCCTGTGTGATTACTTTTATGTCTAGTTATTGATTTTTATATGCCACTCATTAGGCTGGTCGGCCCTTGCTCACACTGCCTTTACACAATGCTTGACCTATGACCAACAGTAAAACAATTATATAGAGTGAGTAAATCTGTGTGTGTCTAAGTCACATCCCACAAAACAAAGTGGGGAATAGGAATTTTTACCACTTCAGGACAGGTAGGCAATTACGCATATGGCAACTTTGGATGAGTATCTACTTATGTATTTAAGTTCTCTTAACTATAAAATTGCATACTCACCTAATGTAGACTTATTTTTGCTGACAAGCCAACAATGATAGCCAAACAGAGAAGACAAGCTGACAGAAAACATAGCTGCAGCAAAGAATAAAAACATAATATGGAACTTGGCTTGAGTATCTGGTAGACCATTCTATAAAGAAAGAAAGAAAATGAAATGTTTTGTCAAAGGGATAAGCATTCCCCTACTTTTACAAGTAAGAAATCTTTTTTTTTTTTTTTTTTTTTTTTTGCTAAAAATATTTTCTAAATTTAGATATGGAGAAAGATACATGGTTTTATGTTAAAATTCAGGGGAAAAAAAACATAGCACCAGATTAATATTAACTGGAATCTGAATATATATGGAAAATATATTCAAACTTGGGGTATTTATTTTGTTGGACGTGACTGAATCATAGAAAAAGGGTGGTAATCTGAGTATAACTTATAACAGAAGCAAGGTGTAAGGAATGATAAAATTTACTTTTGAATTTACTACTTGAATACGTTTTATAACATACTACAGAGTTATAAATGATTACATAATTTTATTAAAGTGCCAACAATGAAGGTTAATTGGCACAGCTAGCTACTATATTCACCGCTATTTTACTTTACTACAAATAGCAGCATCTACTACAAGAACACATACAACAACACATCCACAGTAATGCTTCAGGCTATTGTCAATAAGAGCATCCCAGCAAAGAGGAACAGGAGAGCATAACCCATGTGTAAAACAGACCTTACACTGCCCCGTGGCAAAGGAATCCATCTCAAAGCAGAACCAGCGCGATTCTCACTGTGTGTCTTGCCCAAGGAGACCCGGACTCCATCTAGAACCGTAGATTTGGGGCTACGGACACTCAGTGAAGCACCAGAGCTGCTGGGAGGCGTCTCCTTCTGACAGAAGGAAATGCTGTCTCCACACCCTGCAGTGTCTCACCAACAGCTTCTGAGGGCAGTCCTCACAGTGAAAACGCTGGCTACGCCTTTACAAATACATTTGTGGTTGGAACTAAAGCCATTCACAGGGTCGAGAAGAGTGGGGTGACATTCTCTCAGACATTCACTAGGGACCATTCTTCCAGCTGCACCCTGAAGGTGTACTTGAAGGCTGGGAGCCTGTCCACACACCTGTGAATTCTTAGTGCTTAGCGATAGAAGTGGCGCTTAGTAGGTGCTCAATAAATTCTGGCATTGAATGTGACTAAAGTCCCATCCCACATAAATGATCTAGCAATTTGAAAAATCTTAACCTAATAAAGAATAATTTTATGAAAATAATAAAGCAATGCTGGCAGGAGATAAAATTTTTTTAACATTGTTTGGTACTCACGAGGAGTATCTTTGGATATTTAAAATACTCAATTTTAAATGCTTGCATTTAAAGTAAATAGTGCAGGAAACAAATGAATTAACTAAAGCCTAACCGAGCAATACCTAGTAAAAATTCAGGGCATTATAGATTAATAGTTTAAAAAATAATCTTTTTACACCTAAAGAAAACACTTCTACTTATAAATACGAAAAAAAAAATCTTCTTAGACAGTCAATTCTTGTTATTTCGGTGGCTGTGTTCTGTAAGGCTGCCACGAGCCCTGACTTCCTCCCAGGGAAAACGCAGCGAAGGTCTTGTGGCCTCCGGCACAGTCCTGTCACCACATCTATTCACATCCCGGTTTGCTGTGCATCGGCCACAGCACCAACAACTTTTTAACGTTTGTGTTCATTCACTGACATAGAACGCACCCCAACCTCACTATCACTCAGGCCTGAAGGCTGCTTACCCCCACACAGACTTTCTCCAAAAGCACCTCACACGAGTGCTCAGAACACCGACAGCACTTCAGCACTGTTCTTGAAGAGCATTTTCAACACAGAAACAACCAACACAAAGCACAACAATGCAAAAAAAAAAATTTTTTTTTTTAAAGTGGCATTCGGTAGAGTGAAAAGCACACCGTTGACACGTGGGAGTTGAAACAAGAAGGCAGTCTCCTTGTTTTCTCTCCTTGCTTGGAATGGACACGGGGCCACGCAAAGTTCTGGCCACTCTGTGCATTGTCTGCAAATGGCCACAGAAGCTCTGCGAGTTCTGATTTTGGGCAACAGAAAAACTTCAGCCAGGTGTGAATTCACAAACACGGAATCTACAAATAATGAGGACTGATTCTAAATGAGTTCAAGTCTATAAAATCAGTATCTGAAATAACTCCTTAATGAAACACGGTAGTATGTATTTTTATATACAAAAAAAAAAATTAACAAGGTAATGACTTACTGTCCAAAATTTGATAAAATACTGTAAATCCGTAGCAGCAATAAAAAGGCAGTACAGCAGGGAATACGCCAAGAAAAGGAGGAAAAATTTGTAATTTGAAAATCCAACACAATTGTTCACCCTGTGGATAAAAACAAAACACATTTTCGATGAGTTTGACAGTCTCAGCACGGGCATACATATGCCTAACCTTAACAAGGCGTTAATCACTCAAAATGTATTGGCAAATCTAAAGTGTAATTCATGAGATTTCTTTACACATACAAACATTAAAAATATCCGTTTCGTTAAAAAGGGATTCAAATTTGATGCGCAATATGACTTGACTCAATCAAGAACCATGTCACTATGTACACATAAGGAACTGTTTGACATTGAAATTGGGACTCAAAAGAACTGTTGGCCCAGAAAGAAAGTCACTACAGACTGATTCATTTGCCTCTCAGCATAAACATTATTGCTTGTCTCATTTTCGGTTCTTATAAGTGTATTTCTAGTATCACATGATCTCACCCATCTAGGGGAAATATTGAACAACATAAGCTGATGAACAAAAACAGACCCAGAGACAGGGAAGCATTGATAAGACTGTCAGACTCAGAGGGAAGGCAGGGGAGAGTGGGGATAAGGGGGAGAGATCAACCAAAGGACTTGTGTACATGCCTGTAAGCCTAACCAGTAGTCACAGACAACAGGGGGGTGGGAGCATATGTGGGGAGGGGTTTAGGATGGGAATGGGGGGATGAGGACAAATATGTGATAACTTAATCAATAAAGAAATTAATAAAAATTAAAAAAAGAACCATGTCACTAACTATATAGTTAACCTTTGAACAAATGGGTTGGAACTGCCCGGGTCCATTTAGGCACAGGCTGTTCTGCAATAAATACACAGTTGACACTCTGTACCCCCAGTTTATTTGAAACAAGAAGGGCAAAAATTCAAAAAAAGCTTGTGTTCTTAACCAGTCCCTCACTGAGAGTGGCCTTAGGAAGCATGAATGCCCTGGTACTTCTGGATGGCCAGCCTTGTGAGGTGGCACCCACCCCACCCTGGTGGGAGAGAGCCCTCAGGCAGAGCAGCAGACGGAGGTGTCTCAGTGGGGAGCCGTCAGCAGGCATGGGAACTGCCCCGCAGGTGCAGCGGGCTCAGGTGGGCCGTGGGGACCCGGTGGGCACTGACAGCACATGCTATGGAAGGTCAGCAGAGGAAATGCCCGGAGGACTCATGCTGCTCACACTAGAAGGACTGGGGGAACTACTAGCTGAGAATGGGAACAGAATGAATGAAATGGGCGAAAGAGTGAGGGAAGCAATAGAATGAATATAATGAAAACTGATACCAAATGGAGGTTATTGACTGAAGTCCTTTTTGGGAAGAACCTCATTCTTACAGGAGTAAAGGAGCTTTAGAACCTGTTACAGGAGAACGTGTGCACAGACAGTAGCAGAGGCAGCCCGGGGAGGGCTACAGAAGACAGAAAACCAGACACCCCCCTGCTGTTCCTGCAACGGAGATCCTCATTCTCTGTAGGTCTGTGCTTCAGCCTACAACCAGCAGCATTCCCTGAAGAAGATGAGGCTCATGGGATATCAGGCTTACTGTCCAAGCCAAACCTGGCTGGCCCCCTCAGTGTGACTGGCAAAAGAGCATGCACACCGGGACGGTAAATTATAGGGGAAGGCAGAAAATATCTTCATTAGAGAACTAGGCATTTCCAATACTCTAAGACACCCCTTTCCTGACTTAGAAATATTTTTTTAAAAATAGTAACAAATTCTAAGTGGAAACCCTTATTTCAACAGCATGTTATTCTACTCGCTATTCTACTCTGTAACGCCAAGTTTTATGTAAAATAAACTGTCAAAGCTTTAGATTAATGATTAGAAACTTCCAGGGAGGTATTGTTGTTTATATGTGCATTTTGGTGTATTTCCTGGGGAGTATTTTAGAATTTCTATGTTTATGCATGCACATACAAAGAAAACCATTTGTTCTGAGCAAATATGAGACATTAACTTTTAAATTGTTAAAATGCTGGTTTTAAAATTATTCATGGAAAGTCTCCTGAATAAAGGCTCTTGAACTAATTAAACAAATATTATCAGAAATTAAATCTGAAAGTACCTCCTAGATCAGCTAAGGCAAAATTCATTTATAAAAAGATGTAAATAGATAAATGATTGTATTTACTAAGTTAGAAGGGACAGAAACCGGTTTAAGCATAGAGGCAGACATACCATGGGCAATGATGGTCCATCTTCAAAATACATCTAAAAAAAAACATACACACAAAACTCAACACCCGTGAAAACCTAGTCCCATTAAATTATTAAAATATATACATGTTATTTCAAAAAAGCTGTAGCAAGTAAAATATTGCAAAATTATTTACTTCTCTAATAATGGAATAATAGGAGGGGGCAGGGGCGGGGTGGAGATGGGTAAAGGGTGGGAAGTGGGGGACATCTGTAATAAGAGCCAATAACAAAATAAGTGAATAAAAAGAGAACAACAGTGGAAGTCCTCATCTAAGAAAGAGAGGCTAGCTAATTCCAGTTATGATGCAATAATAGGACTTTCAACTGAAGATATAACATGCTTTAAGGTTTAATACCAATGCAATGTGTTCATATACAATTATCTTATGCTAAAGGAGGTGCAGAATGCCGGCAGATCTACAGGAAGTCTGGGTAAAACTTGTCCTTTCATTTCGATCCTTGGGCCACGTAATTGTACTGCCCTGGTGGCTACACTAAGTATGTGTAATAATAACACCCGACTGTCACAAAGTCCACTGGGAAAGGGTCACAGAAGAAATACTGACCAAGTCAAACCAGCCAGGTCTGAGATGGTAAAAGTCACGCACAACATTCACATCAGTGTGAGTCGGGGGAAGGGGATGACTGATTCTGGCCCTAAACCACATTCATTACTGACACAAGTGATTGTGCCAACTCCGCACCCTAAGAAAAGGCGTGGGGACAGGAGCACGGAGGGAAGGAGATGGTCTGGAGAACAGTGAGGACAGAAGCACGTTCGGGAAGAGAAACGAAGGCTTCCTTACTTGTCGCAGACGGAGCAGTGATGGCAGCGGTCTGGCTTTATGAGTTGGCATCTGTCACAGTATCGGATTGCTGGGAACAAAGAGTCCACTTAGCCTTCGGTTGAATGGTGCATTGAACATGCGACTGAATGGCTCTAATTTAAATTATTCCAATTTACATTCTAAACAACATCCCAAATGTAAACTGGGTAAAGCTGAGATAGTCGGCTCTGCTTAAATACAAACATGGAAAAGGTGTGCCCACAGGCTCAGTCCTCCGGACGGGCATCTTTAGGGGAAATGTATCTAGGGCAGCGATTGCCAACTGGCGGTCCGCCGACCACTGCTGGTCCCTGAGGTCCTAAAGGTTGGCGACCACTGTTCTAGGGCATCCTCAAGTGTCAGTGGTTATCTATCTATCTATCTATCTATCTATCTACCTACCTACCTACCTACCTTTCTATCTACCTACCTATCTACCTACCTACCTGCCTACCTTGTATGTTCCTTTCCATCTGAGTAAACAGAATGTCTCTCTCCATAAAACCAATGATCTTCTGTACCTGCCAGGATAACCAAGAGAGGATGCAACCACATTTTATGCAAAACTAATTTTAGAAATTTGTGAATAAACTCTCTCGATCGCTCACATTGAGAAAGATCTGGCACCTTCTGTGTTGAGCGAGGTACAAGCTTAGAAGTGAGAATTAGCAGAAGTGCTCCAGTGAGAACTTCAGTCCTCGTAACAGAAGACCTGGGCCTTCCTTCTCCAGTGCTGGCGGCTAAGGCAGCCAGGAGTGATGGATTCGGAGAGGCTGTTTCAGTCCGCAGGCTCTTACCGGATGCAGGCAGCTACCGACGCTGCAGGAAAGCAGCTGTTACGTGGGCAGTCCAGTAGAATCAGTAAGGCCACGCTTACAAATGTAAAAAAATGTGGACAAAATACTCGCAATAAATAATGACCAAGGTTATGTCAAGCTAATGCTATGATCTCTGAAAAAGAAAACAGTTGTTATGAACTAAGAATGAGACGTGCTTCTCTTAGACCACAGGGCCTAAATGGAGTTGTTTTCCGTGTGGAAACAAGTCCTTCGTTACCCCGCACTGCTTCATCTTTCGGGAACTGCAGGGATCAACGCATGGCCTTGCTGCTCAGCCCCGGAGGGAAGACACCCACGGCTCCCTCCCCGTGACTCTCCGAGGTCTCCCTGGCTCCTGTTCTTATTGGGGTGTGAGATCTTTCTCAATGTGAGCGATCAACAGAGTTTATTCACAAATTCCTAAAATTAGTTTTGCATAACATTTCTAAAATGTGGGTGTACCCTCTCTCGGTTGTCCCGGCGGGTCTGAGAGTGAGAGGCGGTGGTGTCCAGAGGAATAGTATATAATGGGAGCTCTATGTGTGCTTTTAAACTCCCGGGAGCTAAGAAGAAAGTCCTGTCTGCTGGGTTTTCCCACACCAGCCCTCTGGAACCTGTGAAGTATGTTACATGCACAGTTGCACTGTCAGTGCCTGTGAATGGGCAGCACGGTCTGAAGCCACACTCTCCACGTGACCCCTGGAGGTCACCGCTACGTCTTCTCTGGCCAGTGATTGTCTGCACTTTACAGTTCACCAGGGAAAAGCCTTTCACACCGAAGTGGGCAGTAACTCACCGAGACCAAAACAACGTAGTAATAAGTGTTTTGTCTGGAGTCTTTTATAAAAAGAGAAATTAATGAGAGAGAAAAAAAACCCCACAAAGACTCTGTATACCACATTATGTCCAACTAAAATCATGCCAGAGTAATTTAAAATGAAAGACCTGATTATCTTTTTAAAAACTCCTTACAGCCAACGGGGAATTTTTATGTTAACTGTCTTGCTTGAATTTCTAAGGAATGTATTCATATATTACTTACATAATTGAAAACTTGGTGGGTAAATGTTGAAAAGGCAACATTACTAACTTCTGTGTACGATGATAAATGAGTTACATCCCCTCTAATTGTCACCTTTGTAGTAAAAAACGAGTATAATGTTCTTTTGTAGGAAAAGATCGGGGACAAGGAGAGAGCTAAACAAAAAAAGTAAATAGTCCTCATTAATCAAAATAAGTAATAAACTAAAAAAAAGTCTGAAGAGCCCTGTGAGGATGCAGAAGACGGTGGGTCAGAAGGACGCACAGGACAAACAGAAGTTCGGGGAGCAGACTTTCCAACACCCTGCCTCAAGGACTCGCACACCCTCAGCCAGGTCTCCGGGGCTGAGTGTGTTCTGTGTACAGCCGTCAGCCTCACCCAGGCAGCTGGCATTTCTCTCTCTCAGGTTTGGAGGAAGCCCTGTGGCTTTAGAATGGATGGTAAAATCCCAAATGATATTACCACTCCTTTTCTTCAATGCTCTATAAAGTAAAAGTGTGCGAATGTCAGCTGAGCCTTCATGTGGCTTTAGTCCACAGACTTTCTCCCAAGGTGGAGGAGGAAGTTAACGCACAAGACATGGGTCACTGGGGTGTGGCTGAGGGTCACTGGGGTGTGGCTGAGGGTGGGTAAGGAAGGCCTTCTCATATTCCTTCCCTGGAGCTCCCGTGGCTGCTCACTGCTGAATCCTACCTACCTCTCCATTCTCCATATTCTAGAAGGGGATCAATCACACCAGCATTGCTGTCTGACTATTACACTGAGTGGCCACATTATTATGATCTCTGGATGCATAATAATCTGGCCACTCAGTGTATAGCCTATATAATAAAAGGCTAATATGCAACCTGTCTCCTTGACCAAGCTTTCGACCAGCAGGCAGGCCGGCCAACTGCCTATGTCCCCTCCCCCTGGCCAACCTGGCCAGACCCCACCCATGCACGAATTCATGCACCGGGCCTCTAATATATATATATATATACACACATTGAGTGGTCAGATTATTATGCGTTCAGAGATCATAGTAATCTGGCCACTCAGTGTATACTCTGTGCAATTTAATGGGCTCAATGCCTATAGTATGTTCATAGTGATTCTAGCAGGTATCCAGAATTTCTGCACTGAAATATAAAGATTATATTAGAGAATCCAGATTCTGTTCCAGGCTGTCACATATATGGGGCACTGTGGGTTCATCTCAGGAGGCAGGCATACCGCACTGCGAGGACAGGAGGTGATGGGCTCAATGTCCTATGAACCACACAGGGAGGTGACGTATAAGCCCAGCGTGTAGCTGCTATTAGAGGTGGAAATTAATATTTGTCCTGATACGACCTACACTTCAGCCCTTTCTCTTCATTCAGCGTGTCAACGGCACAGCAGGCAAACACTGCACCGGAAATGAGGAGACAGGTTTCTGTACCTGGTACCATCACTGTCAGCAACTAGCTTTGGAAACTTGTGCAGCATTTATAGGGGCTTACCCTCCCTCCGTGTTTGCTCAGGTTTACACACTAATTTATACAGAAACATATCTGTTTCGAGGGACAGAACCAGTGACATAATATTACATCACAGAGTTACCTCTGGCTCGCTGAGAAACAAGGAAAATGAACAGTAAAAGAGGTCTGTGATTAAAGTTAGATTCAGTTATGATTTTAAAGAGAGCTAGAAACAAACACAAACACACAACAGTAACAAGATATTTCACACTCTCTTCTTTGTACGCAATAGCCATCCATGACCTGGCCCAGTGCTTCCCAATGAGTGTCTGACAGTTTCGAGGACACACACACATGCTCTCCCCCAGTCCCCACAAGCTCCTGTACCTCCAGACATGGTCCTGGTGTAGATGGGGAGGTCCTTGGCTGCTCGCCGGAGAATCTCCTGATGGGCTTCTCCCCGCGGCTCTCTCTCCAGCAATTCTTTCTCTGCGTAAGAGAGGTGGAACTGTGGAGCAGATTTAAACATTCATTAGTGTTTTCAAAGAAATGATAACATCTATTGATCTACTAGCCCAGAAGAAGGCATTTATAAAATGTTAATGGTACACAGTCTACAAATTCAGGAAGGTAATAGAGTCTGAGATCTGGGCTAGTCTGTTAACCTTGCAGGTGATTAGTTTATGCATATAGAAGGTAAAATAATAATAATAATAATAATAATAATAATACCCACTTCCTCAGAGATTTGTGAATCTCAACAGGAACAGAATATGTAAAAGTTCTTTATAAACCATAGAGTTCTATCCCCAAATATTAGTTATATTAATAGATAAATGGCAAAAGAAACAAATTTGGCTCAACGGATGACTTTTTCAATTGGATATCATTAGGAACAAAAATAGAAACAAATCTATCATGCATGTTTTCTCATCTGAGTTCTAAATTAGGAATAATTAGTACATGAATTCTAATACTCAAGACAGACTAATTGTTAATTTTACTTCTTGTACTGCCAATTTGGCCCAACCAATTAAAAAATAATTAGCTGAGAAAAATAAGTATTTCTTTGGGCTCCAATATGATGATTAAAAACAAAACAAAACAGTTTTAAAAGTCTGTTTGAACTCCTCTGAAGGTGTGTTTGAACATCCTACCTTTCTGGGAACATAAGGTGCTCCTGGCTCACCTTGAATATTTCCTGTCCTAGTTCTAGGACCAGCTATTTCCCAGGGAGCTCTCCCTCCTTCCACTGAAGAATGGTATTAGAAACCAAGATCAGGGCTCAAATACAGTTTTCACATCAAAGGAAAGTATCTATACTAATGAAAGAGTAATATGCTAATTAGACTGGAGATCTTCTGGACATCCTTCCGGACAAAGCCACGGCGTTGGGGCCAAGGCAGGGGCAGTTAGGAGTGATCAGGCTGGCAGGGGGGCAGTTTGGGTTAGGGGAGATCAGGCAGGCAGGTGAGCGGTTAGGAGCCAGCGGTCCCAGATTGAGAGAGGGATGTCCAACTGCTGGTTTAAGGTCCCAGATTGCAGAGGGTGCAGGCCAGGCTGAGAGACACTCCCTACCCCCCATGCACGAATTTCGTGCACTGGGCCTCTAGTAATTTTAAAAGGACATACCAATTAAGAAAAAGAAAGAAAAAAAAAGGCTCTAAAAACAAACAGCCCAACCAGCATGGCTCAGTAGTTGAGCCTCAACCTATGACCCAGGAGGTCATGGTTCGATTCCCAGTGAGGGCACAGGCCAGGGTTGTGGGCTCAACCCCCAGGAGGCAGCCAATCAATTATCCTCTCTCATCATTGCTGCTTCTGTCTCTCTCTCCCTCTCCTTTCCTCTCTGAAATCAATAAATATATTTAAAAATAAATTAATTAATTAAATAAGAACAAATAAACAAAACTCTCAAGTGTATTTTCTTTCTGCTAGTTGTTTCTCACTTAGAGGAAAAAAAACCCACATATAATTTCACAAGTACCTAAAATTTAGTGCAAATTTCAACAGAACTTTTTTGCCAATTAAGTCGGCAACAGTTTTCTTAATAACAACATGCAACACCAAGGGTCTGATAAAACTGGAAGCACTTTATATAAATGTCTACAATCCTTTTAGGAAACAGTTTGGCAAGTGACTTAAATTTCCTCGATCTAGTGATTCTACCTGAGAGTTTATATTAAGGAAATGATTAAAAAATGGTAATGGTCTATGTGTGAACATGTTAACAACATTATTTACAATATGAAAAGTTGGGATGTGACTGAGTAAATTTTAATGTTTCAGTGAGACTATTAGGCTGTAGTTAAAAATGAAAATAAGCCAACGATGGGCTATGGTGTGAAAAAAAATTAACTGGAAAGAAATTAAGAATGTAAACTGAATTAGTGGAATGGGATGTTTTTTCCTTTTATTTTCTAAATGTAAATTAGTATGGTTATATCACTTGTATACTGGGAAAACATATTACAATGTTCAGAGCCTATTGGTAAATCTTTATTGGTAATAAATAATGTCTATCTCACACAGTTGTATGAAACAAATAAGGTAAATATATGTTTTGTGGAAAAATCTTCCAACAAATTCTGGTATAGCTGTAACTTCACGGTTGTCAATCCAGTTGATACTATTATTTCTTCTGCATTCTGTATCATTCCATTTCCCCCCACTATATTTATTCACTATTTCAAACCTTCTCTTACAAACCTTAGCCAACCCCTCTCTCGCATCATTCTTAACCAATAACCTCCCACATAATTTGAGGGAGAAATCAGAAGTAATTTCAACTTCCTGCCAAAGCTAGAAACAGAGGCTCACATCAGCACACATACCTTCTCTCCTCTCAATGACTGGATATTTATTGAGCCCCTTTTATGGCCGAGACACTACTTTCCTACCGGCGATGGATTAGTGAACGGAACAGATACAGTGCATGCCTCTTAGAGCGTATACCCTAGGGGTGTTATGAAAATGAATGTGGAACGTGTTACAGGATGATATGCTATGGAGTAAAATAGAGCAAGGTCCAGTTGACAGGGGGTAGTAGGGCTTTGCTATTTTACACAGAGCGGTCATGGAAAACCTCAAAGATGAGGCACCTCTTGGGCAGAGACACCGGGAGGGTCACCCAGGAGAAGGGTGCTCTGGGTCAAGGAGAAGCAGCAGGTGTCACGGCTCCTGAAGGAGGAACACGCTCAGCAGGTTGATGGATCAGCAGGAGGCCAAGGAGGCTCAGTGGCATTCAAGGAGAGTGGTCATTGCATGCATACATGCACAGCCCATGGACGCAGTCAGGGGGTGGGGAGGGCCTGGGGTGGAGGAAAAGGTTAGCTGAAGGGGATTGATGGGGGGGGGGGGGGAAGGGGACATATGTAATACTTTCAACAATAAAGATGTAAAAATAGCAGAAACCGGTTTGGCTCAGCGGTAGAGCGTCGGTCTGCAGACTGAAAGGTCCCGGGTTCGATTCCGGTCAAGGACATGTACATTGGCTGCAGGCACATCCCCAGTGAGGGGTGTGCAAAAGGCAGCTGGTCGATGTTTCTCTCTCATCGACATTTCTAGCTCTCTATCTCTTTCCCTTCCTCATCTCCATATCAATAAGATATATATATTTTTTAAAAGATGTAAAAATAATAATTAAAAAAACAACACAACCACCCACAGAAGAGTGCGTCAGTTATGCAGCGTGGGGCCCGGCCTGGGGCAGCCTCCTAGGCCGCGGGAGGAAACGAGGTCTGTCCTCTGAGTGGGCTCAGATGACCTAGGAAAGTCCTAGAAGGAGAACACGATAGGATCTGCCTTGTTTTTGAAAGAATGACTGGCTACTGCGTTGAAAACAGACAGAAGCGGGCAAGTACGAAAGCAAGGAAACCTGTTGAGTGGATGCTGCTACCCACAATTGGGGAGGCCAGTGGCCTGGACCGCAGGAAGCAGTGAGGGGGCACAGCGCATGCCCAGAGCACGGAGGGCCCGCCTGGAGGTGGGTCTGAGAGAGGAGTCACCAGGGATGAGTCCACGTTTGTGTGAACAGTTGGACGGATGGACGGAGCTGCCATTGCTGAGACAGGAAACCAGCAATCGGAGGAGGTTAGGGGAGTGGCGAGAGGGAGGAGGGAATCCAAAGTCTGTCTTCAAAATTAGGTGCCAAATAGGTAGCTATATACCAGCCTGGAGTTAGAAGGGGGCCGAACTAATGATATTAACTTGAAAGCGATAGCAATGCACAAGATGATATAATATACTAGTAAAGCCATAATGTGGACAAATAAGAGAGAGACCAGAGGCTGAGTTATACAATGCCATGCTAGAGGCTCAGGAAATGAGGAGGAACCAGAGAAGGTGATCAAGAAGGAGGTGCCAGTACAAATAAAAGCAGAATTATTGGGATGAGAAAGGAACTAAGAATAAACTAGAAAGAATGTACACCGGCAGCTACGTGAGATGAAGAACTAATAGTATATAAACTGTGAAATCAGGGTTCAGACCAGAGTCCCTGTTGTCCGACTGAGGCGACGGGCCTTCCCCATATGCGGAGGCCTGAGAAGGTACGAGCAGGAGAGGGGAAGTGCTCCCTGTGCTTTTGGGATGAGTCCTCCAGCCTCAGGACAGAGCATGGATGTCCGCTGGGCTCTGGGGAGGGAATGTCGGCCCAGCTGACAACAGTGACATCATACAGGAGGGGACAGCAACGTCTCTGACAGAGAGAGGGGAGACCCTGAATGAAGTCACTGATCCAAAAAGGAAGAAGGGGCGTCACTAAAACATCTATATGGGGAGGTGGAACCACCAGCAGACTTCGGATGCCCCAGAGGGGCGAGGAGGCCCAAGGACGGGGCACACTGCCAAGCTTCTGGTTGAAGGACGGGGTGGATGTCGGGGGCATTAACCAGCATGAGGAACGGTGAGTCACCGTCCAGGGAAGGAGAGGATGGGGAGCTCAGTGTTTGACGTGCGATGTTTCAGGTGTCAGGGGAATGACTGAGAAGCTATGTTTGGCAGGGAGGTTGTGTGTGAATTCTTGGGAGAGGTCAGAAGTAAAAACACATTTGGGAATCTTCAACCCAGGTCAGAGGTAAGGGTATAATCATCAGTACAGTGGATGAGGTCACCTGCAGTGGACGTCACAATTTCCCTCCAAACCTACAGTGAAGGCCCGGATGGGGGTAAGAGAGACAACAGAAAAGAGGGAAGCCTGGGAGGAGGGAGAAGTAGACAGGAGGAGGAAAAAGGGCTATCTCTAACAAACACATTCCAGCCCAAGCAGACCAGGAATTCTCTGCAAGTACTGTGTTTTGTTTTCAGTATCCTTTCCCAGGACAAATAGCATGTTTACTGGCTTTTTTTCTTTCTTTCTTTCTTTTTCTTTTCTTTTTTCTTTTTTTTTTAACAAAGAATAGCTGCTTTTCAAACAGGTCACTTCAGGAAACAATCTGTAGTGATGCCCGGACTTTACCTTCTTTAAAACCTTTTTTGTTAATCCTCACCCAAGGATACGCTTCCATTGACTTTTAGGGAGAGTGGGAGAGAGAGGGAAAGACAGAGAGAGACATCGATGTGAGAGAAGCACATCGATTGGTTGCCTCCTGCACGAGTCCTGACCAAGGCCTGGCCCAGGAGGAGCCTGCAACCAAGGTGCGTGCCCTTGGCCGGAACTGAACCCAGGACCCTTTGGTCTGCAGGCTGACGCTCTACCCACTGAGCCAAATTGGCTTGGCTAGGGCCTTTTCCTTTTATTTATTTATTTATTTATTTAATTTAGCCTACTAAAACACTTTTATTACTGGGGGAAAAAAGTTTATTTCTACTCAACAAACGTACTGGATTTAGGGCCAAATATATAAACATGATTAAGACTCAGCCCTTTACTCTAAGAATATCTTAACTAACCAATATTAAAGAAACAAATAGCCAGATGATCTTTTCAAAATGCATATCTGATCATGTCACTTTACTGAAAAGCTTCTGTGGATGAAACTGACCCCTGATGTCCGCTCTTCCCTTCCTCTAACCTGGCTAACACGGCCATCAAGAATAACGACTGCACTCCTAGCCTGCTGCACAGATTATGGCGGTAGGACTGAGTTCTAAATGTAAGTAGAAATGGCATCAGCAACTTCCAAAAAGAGTCCTTACGAGAAGGACATTTCCTTCTGCTTCTCTTTCCGTTTCCTGGCCTGCTCCTGGAATACAGACACGATGGCTGGAACCACGCAGCCACATTAGGCCAAGAGGTGACCTTGGGATTGGAGGCTGCATATGTCAGAGCAACAAAACAGAAGCAGCCTGGAGACCTGGCCGCTGAGGCCCGGCTATAGACATTGAATATAGAGATTAGTTAAATAATTACTTTGTTGTTTGGTGGCTATCAGCCAACTAACTCATCATTAATAGGATATTTTTATTTTTAAAATATATTTTATTGATTTTTTTTACATGCCTTTGATCTGAATTGAACCTGGGACCCTTCAGTCCACAAGCCGATGCTCTATCCACTGAACCAAACCAGTTAGGGATAGGATATTTTTAATAGAAGCATGTCTACTTTCTGTTCCACCTATCTATCTATGTATTTATCTATCCATCTATCCTGGTATCTAACTCTAAAAGTAGAACACATGACAGATTGTACATTGGAAATAAAATACTCATCCGGTGCGAAACTAATATTTACCAAGAGAAAACTCAAGTATTTACTAATAAAACATTCGTATTAAAAATTTTTAACACTCAATAAGTTTGCAACATTAATAAAAAAGACATAAAATTAATTCTTCAGACACCAGAATTATTGATTTCCAACTTTAGGATGACTTTGCTGATAGTTTTACTTACTTCTTTTGAAGGGTTCATTGGTAATGTAAAGATAGTTTTCCAATACGACCAGACAAACATTGCGAACAGGAGATGATAAGCAATCAGGCACACAACTAAAGGGAGAGAAAACATAATTTCCACTGTAACGTGCGAGCGGGTGTTCGAAACAACCTGCTTATTCCAAAACGCCCAAAGGGCCGATGGCAGTGCGTTCATTTTATTTTGAATTTTTATTTCTAATTTTTGTTATTGTAAATAAGTTTGCTTATAGCATACCGGAATAGGCACAACTCCATGAATTAATTTTTATACCTAAAGCCCAGGGTTTTTAAAAAATCCCCAATGATGCATAATCAGCTCTGTGACCATGATCAGCGCCCTCCCATCTGGAGGTCGGCCCATCTGTTGGCAGAAAGGGCTCCCGGCAGCGTCTCCTAGACTGTGGAAGGGAGCAGTCCGCCTGCGGCTAGCTCTGAGGCAGAAGCACAGCCTTAACAGCTGCCAAAACGCCCAGGCGTCCGGATGGAGAGAGAAGTCTTCCATTGGAAGCTCAAGTGCCTTATTTACCACCCGGGACACCCGTTAGGAAAAGCCCTCTGACCCCTGTCTCCGGTAATACACACACAGGTAAACACCCTCTGTGTGGTGTTTCATTCTTGACGTGCTATGCAAGTAGAAAATATCGGTTTTTGTATACAACGATAATGATTACTTCTGGGACGTACATATAGGCTGTCCCCCCAAAATGCATACACAATTTTTTTTTTTAATTTAATAAACCTTCATTGTCCAGATTATTACAATTGTTCCTCAAAATGTATGCACACTTTAAAAAGTGGATGGCTCAATTTTGAAAAGGAAATCCATTTTAATAAACACTGCCTTTATATTGACTCAAAGTGTGTTGTATACATTTTTGGGGACACCCTACAGATAACAATTCTGTAAGATGCAGTTGAATAAAATGTGCTGATTTAAAACATAGCCTATTTGGCATTTTAAACCATCAGCAGCAATTTTAACTTCTTTTAAAAGAATGATGATGCTCATAGAATCATTAAAAAGTTAAGTGATCCATTAAGGCATACATAACAAGAGCCAACGATATTTTCCATGGATTATGCGAGAGACGGGAACGGGGTAAGACAGGAAATGGCTGGTATTCCCGGATCAGGAAGCCACGAGCAGCTGGCACAGGGACAGGCATTGCGGGCAGAGTTCCCGCCCTGTGGTGGCAGGATTCAGCCTGGGGACCATGAGAACGGAGAGCTTGAACCCCGTCTTAGCTCCACCTCCTTACAGAATAGTTATTTATCCCAACCAAAGCTAAGTGAATTCAATTTGCTTTTTTTCAAATGATTTTTAAAACTGTACATCTGAAACAAAAACAGAACATATTTTACCTTGTTCTCCAATGTTCTCCATGGACACTGTAGAGAGAGAGGGGGTGGGGGGGAGGGAAAACAGGTTACATGAAGCATCTGGCACACACAGGCCTGACAGACATGGGTTAATAATACCTGGACTCCCCTGCAAACCCATGTTCTTGAAATACTTGTCCAGCTTTATCCAGGGGCGAGGGGAGCAGTGTGGGCGAGGGTGGGGGAGGGAGACAGGGTGGCCTTTATCTGCATTTCAGCCGGGGGGCTCCCAGGCAACACAGAGTCTGGCAGGTCTTGCTCCCACAGGAATGATCAGTCTCTCATCTCCCTCCCCACTACAGGGTTCGGACAGAGGCATCTCTCTCCAGGCCCTGCCATTCCCAGAGGCGATTCGTTGTGGGTGATAAACTGGCATTCACCTACTGAGCGCTCCAAAATGAAGGGGGGGGGGGGAGTGTTGTGACCATGCCACACCCGCCTTTTCCAATTCCTGTCCGTACACATTCTTGTGCCCAATGACTCCTGCGCCCTGCACAGAATGAGTGGCCCTGGCAAGCTGCCAGGCAAACTGCCATCCCTCAGGCGCTGCTGGCGGGGACAGGAGCCTGAATTTTGTAACCCAGACAGCCCCTCGGCGTCCGAATTGTCCACTTGCTGTTTCTCATCTGCTCTGGCTCCATTTGTGCTAACGTCTCTGGACATTCTCCTCTGCCTCAGCTATAGCAGAAGATTTGACTTGTCTGTGGATTTCTGCTACTATTTGGCTTTTGAAAGGGGGGCAGGCCTTAGTTCTAGAATATATCATTTTATTGTCTTAAGAAGCACCAGAATCAGAGGGTAATGTTGTAAAAGATTTTTAAGATTACCTGACCAAACAATAAAGTTAAAGTTAAAAAGAAAACATCCTATCTACTAACAAGGGAATATGCTAATTGACCCTCACGCTGTTTCGACGATGGAGGTGCCCACAGCCAATAAGGAGGGAATATGCTAATTGGCTGCCTTACCCTCAAATATGGCGGTGCCCAGACCCCTCAGCCCCAGCCCCCGAGGGCCGGCCCAAGGCCCAGACAATCCTTGGCTGGCGGCTGCCCAGTCACCCAGGGTCACCTGAGGCTCAGGTAACCAGGGCCAACCAAGGCTTGCGCTGCCGGCAGTGGCAGCAGCAGAGGTGTGATGGGGACCTCAACTTCCCCTGTCGTCGGATCACCTCCCGCCCCTGAGGGTTCCCAGACTGTGAAAGGGGGCAGGCCAGGCTGAGGGACTTCCCCTCCAGTGCATGAATTTTCATACACCAGGCCTCTAGTATTTCAAAAGCAAAAAAAAAAAAAAAAAGGGGGGGGGGTTTCTAATCAAACCAAGCTCCTTTCTAAGAGGCCTACGGACCGTCATCCGGCTAGGCATTTCCAGAGCAGCCCATCCCAGGATTGGATTGCTCTAAGAATGATGACGGGACTATTGTGCCCTGAAGCACTCTGTGGCTTCTGTCTATGGCTCCTGTGCTTCCCACCTGTATCAATAAGCGGAAGATCTGAAGGACAGACCTTCCCATACTTAAAGCTGTGTCCGTCCCCCATAAAAACGTTCTCGTTTAGAGGCACAGCTGGCAGGGCTCTCACCAGCGCTGATGTGGCTCCTTCCTAGGCTCTCCGTTTCCTTCAGCATTTCTGAGCCCCAGAAGGGGACTGGCCCACACAGGTGAACTCTGACTTACAAACGGCCTGCTCCGCAGGTTTGCTTATACATCAGAGGCTGGAGGGTGAGAGAGTGCACTTCCTCAGAGGACCCCTACAGCGGCTGCACTGAGGGTACTGGGGGGAGGGGTCCTGGGAGGGCCCTCAGCGGGCTGTCTGCTCTCTCAGACCCTGCCCTTCCCTCCCTTTATGCATTTCTCTCTAGGCACTGACTTCCGGGTTTCCAAAGTGCTCCAAAACTGACTGCAGCTCTTCCTCGCATCAAAATTTCCAATCCATTAGTGGAGCTCACAGAAGGAATTGGAAAAGCAATTTGACTCCATTTGCACAATTATGTTTGAATGGCCCTTAACGACCATGCCAGAGGTGGTGGTGTTTCAAAGAAAATGTATTTGCTAACCCATGACTCTGTCAAAATTGAAAGAAGTAAAACAAAATGAAATTTAAAACGGAAAAAGTACAGTTAGTATGAACGGATTGTCTTTTTGACCTGGACTACTACTTTATTGGCTGATATGCATTCAAAAGATATTGTTTTAAATGCTATTTCTTCATTGCACAGCTTGTTTTTCTCTAAATGTACTTAAAAATCCACAGGGCATCTATTTTTTTGTTTGTTTGTTTTCAGTTAAACAAGTTATATGCATGGATATGGAGGCATGCTTATTCTATCTAATAAGGAGGGAATATGCTAATTGACCATCCTGCCTTCACAAAGATGGCAGCGCCCACAGCCAATAAGGAGGGAATATGCTAACTGACTTCCACGCCCTCAAAGATGGCGGCGCCCACAGCCACAAGATAACAGCGCTCAGTCCCCTCAGCCCCACAGGGGGCACGACATGGCTGGGCCCATCCCCAAGCAGGTCCGGCTGCTCTGCATGCCTGCCTCTGAGTCTCCCAGTCCCCTTAGTCCCCCAGCTGCCCAAGGCTGGCCTGAGGTGCAGGAAAGCCTCAGATGTTGGTTGCCCAGCCGCACAGGGTGGGCCTGAGGCACAGACAAGCCTTGGATGGCAGCTGCCCAGCCGCCCAGGGTCGCCTGAGGCTCAGGTAACCAGGGCTGGCTGAGGCTTGCGCTACTGGCAGTGGCAGCAGCAGAGGCGTGATGGGGCATCATCTTCCTCTGATCGCTGCGTCGCCTCCTGTCCCTGAGGATTCCCAGACTGTGAGAGAGGGCAGGCTGGACTGAGGGAAACCACCCCCCCACTCCAGTGCATGAATTTTCATGCACCTGGCCTCTAGGGGTAAATAATTCTGTAAAATGTAGAAGTTCAAAAGGGCTGTGCCAACTACACTCCTCAAAGATTCTGCACCTGTCCAGTTTATTATAAACATCAAATAAATCTTTAACTTCTGTGAGTGTCTTAGGTAAAAATAAAAATCGCTGCTTTAGTACTGGTTTCCCTGATTACTGGTGAAGGTTAGCATTATTTAAAAAATATAGTGATTGGTTTTTTTTCTCTCTCTTTTGAGTGAATTACCACTTTCCCATTTGTTTATGTCTCTTTTACTTACAGAAAGCCTTTGATATACTCTGGACAGCAATCCCATGTCTGTTATATATGTTGCAAGTAACGTTGTGTATAACTACTTTCAAATGATTTAATATATACTAGCAAAATCTATGGCTTATCATTGATTAAATAACAGTATCAACATTTTCAAATTGACCTGTTTCAGTAATAGATACGGGGTCTCTCCCGTGGTGAGCCTGAGGATATGAATACTCTCTCAAACATGTACACCCAAGCAGGAGGTCAATGATTCGACTTGTAATTTCCGGTGTGGCACAATGGTCAATTTTCCTCATTGGAAAAACACATAGAATATACAATGTGATCATCAAATACAAATATTTTTGTTCTTGAGTGCCTGTTTTAAGAAAAGGTCGCATTTACTCTTGGGGATAAGAGCACCACACTATTACCTGAAATAGCTCCTATTCGTACATCTGATGATCATCTAAATACACTTAACAGTAACACTGGGGTCACTGTGTTAATTTTCATTTAAAAAATTTGTCTAATTTTATCTTGGATTGGCCTAATTTCTTTCTGGTCCATAGCCTACAATGATCACATTTTTATCAATTAAATTTACTGGGGTGACATTGGTCAGTATGAACATACTAGTGGCCCGATGCACGAAATCTGTGCAAGGGGCTTGGCCCTCGCAGCCCCGGCTTTGTCTGGAAGGACGTCCAGTCTAATTAGCATATTCCACTTTTATTATTATAGGTAGGTTTCAGGTGTGGGTTTTTATGTTACAAGACCTGTAAATTGCACCATGTGCTCACCACCCGAAGTCAAATCTCCTGTCACCAAATATTAGGACCCTCTTTCCCATGATCACATTTTAAAATTTAAAGATTTCTCTCTCTCCAATATGCTTCCAGAACTTTAAATCATCCCTGATTAGCTACAGGGTAGCTAGAAAGCAAGGACTCTGACTTGTTAAGATTCTAAGGAATTGCACCAATTTCTTGGCACTGATTGTGTATATCTACACTAATAAAAGAGAAAGATGCAAATTGACTGTACCTCCATGATGCCCACCAGTCACTCAGGAGTATGTAAATTAACCAAACAAAATGGTACGTTAATTTGCATATGCAGGCATGGAATGAAGACTTCTTGATCCAACTTGGCTTGAACAAAAAAAATCCAAAATTCTTCAGATACTAAAATACGCCTTCATAGTAGATTTTAAAAAAGCACTTTCCCCCTTAAATCAGCCAAGAACAGTTACATACTTGTTGCTAGAACAATTTGGTAGAACAATATATACTGCTGTGACCTTTTTATTTCTTTTCTTAATCAGAATTTCCTTTACCTTGCCTTCAGATCGAAACTCCCTCTTTTGGAGGAGGGAATAATGCACCCATATTGCATCCACACAGCAACTCCTCTTGTAAAACCACTACGCTATTCCCAAATTCAGCCTGACACAGATACGTCTCAGCTCCATGTGGGTAACGAAGAACACCAACAACAAAGATGTGGTTCTAATGTAGGAATCTTGAGGATATTTACAGCCAAGGTCTATATATGTTTTTCCTGCTTATGTTTAACTCCATTTTTTGAAAAACATTTCCCGATCAAACTATACTTACACTGTTGACAGTAAAATGATGAGACTCTGTCCCTGTGCTCAAAAGCTTATGAGAATTCATTTTCGTTAGAAGTTAAAACTGGGGGGAAAACCAACCAGGACATAGTTATTAAACACTTTCAATTAAGGGATTAAGAAGTACAGATTGGCCGTTGCAAAAACAGTCGTGGGGATATACACTACTGCCTTGGGAATATAGTCAGTGACATTACAATCAATCTGTATGGTGCCAGGCGGCTACTG